CTGATCAAAGGCCTGATGAAATATTTATCTCTCTGGAGGGGGCTCAGCGATCCTCCGAGCAGGCGTTGCCACCTGCCTGCGGAAGAGATTCGTCCTCGCGTATCCACTGCCGCAGGTCACCTCTATAGGAGGTTGAGGGCGGATAGGATTGCTCTCTTGAAGTATTTGAAGGGCTGTCACTTAGAGGAGGGCAGGGAGCCATTCCTGTGGGGCAACAAAGGATAAGACTCGCCAGAATGGGTTTAAATTAAGGGCGGGAAGGTAACAGCTGGATCTTAGGAAAAACTTTTTTTACAGTAGTTCTGCGACAGTGGAATCCGCTGCCTCAGGAGGTGGTGAGCTCCCCCTCTCCAGCAGTCTTTCAGCAGCCGCTGGACAGACAATTGGCAGGGATGCTCTAGGCCAGGGGTGTCAAACATGTGGCCCGGGAGCCGGATCAGGCCCCCGGAGGATTTCTATCAGGCCCGCAGTGGAACTGGCTGTCTTCTGCTTCCTCTTCCAGTTCTGCTGCTACTGCATCATCATAAGTTTGCAGCTTACAGATACACACCTGAACAGCATACTCAAGACTGCAACAGCACAGACATTTTGATGCAGTAATTCAAAGGGAGAGGTGTCAGTTAGTGAACAGTTAAATAAACAAAATATTGCAAGAGTGCTAATGTTTTAAGCATGTTTTTATTTTAAGTAAAAAAAACCCAACCCTTTGTGTCTGTGTCCTTTATAAAGTTTATATCTCCGCTACCTGGCATTACATTTTATAACACACATGGCCCGGCCCAACAAGGTCTCATTTATGTCAGATCCGACCCTCATAACAAATAAGTTTGACACCCCTGCTCTTCGCTGATCCTGCATTGAACAGGGGGTTGGACTAGGTGGCCTCTATGGTCCCTTCCAACTTTGGGATTCTCTCATTCTATGATTTCCCCGAATCCAAATCTTTTTTTTAAAAAAACCTGGTGCAATTTGGGGCTTACAAAAATGGACCTAATATCCAGTACTGAATGTTTTCACTTTCTCCTCCTCTTCAAGCCCAAAATCCAATCACTTCAAGAAACAGAAGCAGGCAGAGGTGCTGTGTCCACTGGCTGCCATTCACTTGCATGGATCATAGGGGGTGAGGGCCAAACCTCATTCTCCACACCAGTATTGGATTCCACGGGGGCAGGTTTCCTTCCACCGGAGTGTTGGTCAAGTGCAGGGGTTCCCAGTGTGGTGGCCAGGGCGCCCGCCAACCCCTTTTCTGATGCTCGCCAACTATTTTTAGGAAGTGTTTTCGCCCAGCAAGGCTTCTGATTGGCTGATCAGATTTTTATAAATGTTGCTGTGGCAGCAGCTGCCACAGCACAAGATCTACCCTGTGTGCCTGAAGTGAAGCTGTGGCGGCCATTTTGTATGTGCCACCCATGGCGGCCATTTTGTGGCTGTGCCCACCGCACCGTGACAGAATTCCAAAGGGGCTCGCAGGCTCAGAAAGGCTGGGGACTCCTGCCTGTGCGCGTCCTTTAACGTTCACAATCGTCACCATTCACTACAATGGGGAAAGCTGGGTTTTCGAGGACAAAGTCCAAAAACCTCAGATCGTTGTCCGAGGACCCTTCCTGAATGAAAATGTGGCAGGCAGTGAGTGTTTGGGTGTCGGTCACATGTCAGCCCCCAAAGGGTGGCGGATATCAGGCGTCCACACCCAAGAATTAGCCCAGAGTCCCATTACCGTTACTGTTCTAATTTTGGACAGTGGCCCTGAGAAGGTTCCCAGAAGCAGACTGAGAAGATTCTTAGTGGGGACAGCTGGCCTCTCGCCAGAGAAGACCATTGTTGTTCCCGTGGCTCGAGGCCCTGCATCCCTCCACAACAAACCGTGGAGCCAGAGGTGGATGGCAAAAGCTTGGAGGAGCTGCCAAACCAAGGCGATGTTTGCTCTGTGAGGCGAACACCTGAAGATGCTTCATACTGAACAAGACCTTTGGGTCCACCAATGTCAGTGTCGTATACTTAGGCTGGCAGCAGTAGCTAAGAACATCAGCCATGTTGGATCAGGCCAATGGCCCATCCAGTCCAGCACTCTGTGACACATGGTGGCCAAAGCCCAGGGGCCATCAGTGGCTTTAAGAACATTAAGAGAAGCCATGTTGGATCAGGCCAGTGGCCCATCCAGTCCAACACTGTGTCACACGGTGGCCAAAGCCCAGGTCCCATCAGGAGGTCCATCACTGGCTTTGAGAACATTAAGAGAAGCCATGTTGGATCAGGCCAAAGGCCCATCCAGTCCAACACTCTGTGTCACACAGTGGCCAAAGCCCAGGTGCCATCTGGAGGTGCACCAGTGGCTTTAAGAACATTAAGAGAAGCCATGTTGGATCAGGCCAAAGGCCCATCCAGTCCAACACTCTGTGTCACACAGTGGCCAAAGCCCAGGTGCCATCTGGAGGTGCACCAGTGGCTTTAAGAACATTAAGAGAAGCCATGTTGGATCAGGCCAATGGCCCATCCAGTCCAACACTCTGTGTCACACGGTGGCCAAAACCCAGGGGCCATCAGGACGTCCAACAGCGGGGCCAGAACTCCAGAAGCCCTCCCACTAGTATTGCCCCTTAAGCACCAAGAACACAGAGCATTACTGCCGCAGACACGGTGTTCCACCTGTACCTTTTGGCTAATAGCCACTGATGGACCTCAGTGGGATACAATGCCACAGAGTCCACCCTCCAAAGTAGCCATTTCACCTAGAGTACTGTCTTCTGTTTTGGGCACCATAGTTCAAGAAGGCTCTAGACAAGCTGGAACGTGTCCAGACCAGAGGAGGGCAACGAAGGATGGTGAGAGGGGTCTAGAGACCAAGGCCTCTGAGGAAAGGCTGAAGGAGCTGGGTATGTTTAGCCTGGAGGAGATGACTGAGAGGGAATAGCATAACCGTCTTTGAGTACATGAAGGGCTGTCCTATAGAGGATGGTGTGGAGTTGTTTTCTGCTGGCCCGGAAGGTTGGGCCAGAACCGACAGACTGAAACTAAATCAAAAGAGTTTTCGGCTAAACATTAAGAACTTCCTGACAGAGAGGTTCCTCAGAGGAACAGGCTTCCTTGGGAGGTGGTGGGCTCTCCTGCTTTGGAGGGTTTTAAACCCAGGGGCCATCAGGAGGTCCATCAGCGGCTTTAAGAACATTAAGAGAAGCCATGTTGGACCAGGCCAATGGCCCATCCAGTCCAACACTCTGTGTCACACAGTGGCCAAAGCCCAGGGGCCATCAGGAGGTCCATCAGCGGCTTTAAGACTGTAAGAGAAGCCATGTTGGATCAGGCCAATGGCCCATCCAGTCCAACGCTCTGTGTCACACAGTGGCCAAACCCAGGGGCCATCAGGAGGTCCATCAGCGGCTTTAAGACTGTAAGAGAAGCCATGTTGGATCAGGCCAATGGCCCATCCAGTCCAACACTCTGTGTCACACGGTGGCCAAAACCCAGGGGCCATCAGGACGTCCAACAGCGGGGCCAGAACTCCAGAAGCCCTCCCACTAGTATTGCCCCTTAAGCACCAAGAACACAGAGCATTACTGCCGCAGACACGGTGTTCCACCTGTACCTTTTGGCTAATAGCCACTGATGGACCTCAGTGGGATACAATGCCACAGAGTCCACCCTCCAAAGCAGCCATTTCACCTAGAGTACTGTCTTCTGTTTTGGGCACCATAGTTCAAGAAGGCTCTAGACAAGCTGGAAAGTGTCCAGAGGAGGGCAACGAAGGATGTTGAGAGGGGTCTAGAGACCAAGTCCTCTGAGGAAAGGCTGAAGGAGCTGGGTATGTTTAGCCTGGAGAGGAGATGACTGAGGGGGAATAGGTTAACCGTCTTCGAGTACATGAAGGGCTGTCCTATAGAGGATGGTGCGGAGTTGTTTTCTGCTGCCCCGGAAGGCCAATGGCCAGAACCGACAGACTGAAACTAAATC